TCTAACCATTGGAAGAGAGCTTCGATTGTGGTCCGAGATAATGGTGATTGCAGATGGAAGAAGATGCATTGGGTCCCTAAATGTGGACAAGATCGGTGGTGCAGATGCAGGAGGCGGCGAGTGAAGTTGCAAAAGAAGTTGAGGCACCGGCTAAAATTCTCGACCAGTTAGAATGAAGTGAAGGACATTTATGAAATTTGGGTTAAACGTGAGTTTTTAATTAAAATCCTCCACCTATAAAGAAACAAGCAATTTGGCACAAATCCTACAATAAAAATACCTAGGTTTTTATTTGAGAGATTTAGTCCCAAAAACCCTCATATTAAAATCCCTAATCCAAACGGCCCCTTTGTGTCCTTTTTTATTCTTAGACAGTAGTACATGTGCAGCAAAATGGTGCGCTCCATGCTGCCCGCGCCGCTATGCATCGCGCACAGTCTTTGTGCAAGTCACGTACGATCTTGCACGCTTCGTCTTGCCCGACGCACTTTAGGTATACGCCGGAGTGTGACCGCCGGTGCAGCTCGCCCCCAATGAGAGTGCAGCGAGCCGCTTTCTCCCTTAAGGTCGATGCCTCTTTTGTGTCCTTAGGTATTGATCCATCCAGCAAGTATTTATGATTAGGGCTCTACAATCCTTCCTTGCATTGTCTGTGTGGTGTTGACCATGATGACTTGCTGGTTTTCCCCGTTTTCCTTATGTACTGAGACCAAGCGTGTCGATTCAAAATCATTCGCGGTTGCTAACTTTGACAACATGTCTGCGTGGAGATTTTCTTCCCTCGCTATCTGTACATTTGTCATCATATCGAAGGTGATTTCCCGCTGCTTTACTCGCTCGATGAATTGTGCGAGCGTGTCTTCTTTTGCGTCAAAGACACCGTTCAGTTGGTTTACTGCTAGCGCGGAATCCGACAAAACTCTGATTGTCTTTGCCCCCAAATCACTCTCGACCGCCAACCCTGCAAAGATGGCTTCATACTCGACAGCGTTGTTTGTTTTCAACGTTCTGAAGCGTATTGCTATTTCTTGAATGGCTCCTGCCTATGTACATATGACTACTCTCGCTCCGGCTCTGTGCCTGCTTGTCGCACCGTCAACATATAATTCCCACATTCCCTCTGCTACCGTGTCGAGAACTACCCCTTCGGCAATAAAATTCCTTAGCATTTGTGCCTTTATGTTTGGTATTGGCGCATACTGGATGTCGTACTCTGATAACTCAACCGCCCACTTGACCATCCGCCCCGCCACTTCCATTGAGCTCAAAATTTTCTTCAGTGGGAGATTGGTTAAGACAGTGATCAAGTGTGCTTGAATGTAAGGGCGTAGTTTCTGCGACGCGCTTACTAGGGTCAGGGAGACCTTTTCAATCGACGAGTATCTTGTTTCCGCGCCTAGAAGCGTTCAAGATGTGTAGTATACTGGACGCTCGGTTTGAGTTTCCCTCCTGGATATTAGAACTGCACTTACATCTGTGGTTGACACAACAAGGTACAAGAAAAACTTTTCATTAAGCTTGGGAGCGGTTAGTACAGGGGAGATACAAGATATAGTTTGAGTTCCTTGAAAGCCACTTTGCATTCTAGTGTCCATGCGAATCATGTGCCGTTTTTCAAGATTTTAAAGAAAGGGGCGCACTTGTCAGCTGACCTCGGTATGAACCTCCCGAGCGCGGCCAGTTTACCGTTCAAGGACTATATCTCGGTCGCACTCCTTGGTGCTCGTAGTTGTTGGACCATAGTGCTTTCTTTGGGTCAACTTCAATGTCGTGCTTGATGATCATGAAGTCCAGGAATTTCCCTGCCTCGACACCGAATACATACTTCAGGGGGTTGAGGCGGAGGCTATGTTTGCAGAGTACTTCGAACGTCTCGCACATGTCCTCCAAATGAGAGCTTCCTACTTTGGTCTTTACGATGAGGTCGTCAACGTACGCTTCAATCTTCCGCCCAATCTGTCGTGAGAATACCAAATCGATCATTTTGCTGGTATGTGACACCCGCATTCTTCAACCCAAAGGGCATTCCCCCGAAACAGAAGTTTCCGAATGGCGTCATAAAGACAGTTTTTTCCACATCTTCATGGGCCATTGGGATCTGATGGTATCCTGAAAACATATCCAAGAAGGATAATGTTTCATGGTCTGAAGTGGCGTTGATCAGTTGGTCGATGAGCGATAGGGGGTAAGGGTCTCCCGGACACACCTTGTTGAGTGTAGTATAGTCGACACACATTCTCCATGCCTCGGAGGACTTTTTGACTAGGACTACGTTGGCTAGCCACTCTGGATATTTGACTTCTCGGATCAGTCTCGTGGCGAGGAGACGCGAGACTTCTTCTTCAATGGACGACACACATTCTCCATGCCCCAGAGGACTTCTTGACTAGGACTATGTTGGCTAGCCACTCTGGATACTTGACTTCTTAGATCAGTCCCGCGGCGAGGAGACGCGAGACTTCTTCTTCAATGGCTTTCAACTTTTTGCTAGTGAAGCTTCGACGCGCTTGCTGCCTTGGTTCTACATTAACGGGGACCGCGAGGCAGTGTTGTGCGATCTGTCTTGGCACTCCGAGCATATCCTTGGTACAGCAGGCGAACAACTCCTTGTACTCTCGAAGTAATATTACCAGCGGTTCGACCATGTCGTTGTGAACGTGGGTCGAGATGCGCACCTTTTCTGTTGGCTCAATTGGATCAAGTGCGACTTCGAAGTCAGAATCCATGGACTCTGGATGCGAATCCTCCGCTCTTGTATCGATTAGGTTGGTTTGGCGTGTGGGTCCCGTTTCCGCTACTATGCTCCAAGGCAGCCCGCACGCTTCTCAGGTTCCTGCTTTGGTGGGGAACTTGAGTTTCTGGTGGCATGTGGATGGTAGGACCATGAATTTGGCGAGAAATGGTCGTCCCAAGATGCCATTATGAGGTGAGTTGCAGTCGACGATGGTGAACTCAACCTAGTTTGAGACTCGCGGTTCATGGTCTCCAATCAGACTGGAAGTGTTATTGCTCCTATTACCGCCACTCGTGTTCCTGAGAAGCCCACCAAATTTTCCTGCGCGTGTTTAATCATGCGCGGGTTGATGTCCATTTGATCCAGAGCACTTTTGAAAAGGATGTTCGCGGCACTGCCTCCATCTATTAGAAGGCGATGGATTTTGCACGCGGCTATTAAGGCGGTGATAGTAAGAGGAATAGAGGATCCTCTGATGGTACTCCCCGTGGAAACTCTGCGTCGTCAAAACTCAAGTTGCATTTTTGTTGCACATCGGCTCACTCCATTGCGCGGTCGCGCTTTTTCTTCTTCTTGGGCCGATCCCCTTCGATCGTGACAACACCTATCTCTTTTCGCACTATGTATGAACCGATGGTTTCATTGTAATTAGGTTGCGGTATAGTGGTTGGTGGTATTGTGGGGATAAGTGTTGCTCCCAGAAGCTGAGGTTTGCTCTTACTTGTGGTTCCGCTCGTTGCTCACGAGGCTCAGGGGCGGTTTGTCTTCTTGGTAGAGTCGGTGGCGCGGTTGTAGTTAGATGCGTTGTTGTCGCGGTCTCTTTGCTCATCATGAGCGCAATGACTTGGCTCATCTTGTTTTGCATGTCAGCTATGAACTCATTTTGCTTCGCCATTTGTTGTCTCACCTCTTTGGTTGTTAGTTCCGGCTACTCCTCCTCAATAAGTACCGCGTTGAGATTGCTGGTTTCTTCGAACCTTCTCGCTTCTGTCATCGCTTTGAATGGTGTTGCTTGTTTCGGTATGTCAGAAGTTTGTCCTGACATTTGTCATTTTGGGTTGTGTTTCTTTTCACTCGCGACCCCATGGTGGGCGCCAATTGTTTGTGTCTAACTGATAGTAGGAGTGAGACACTGAGGAAAGGGTCTGCGAGTGAAAGTAAGAGGATTTCCGCCTTTTACCTTTAACCTTTTTTCCAAGATTACAAGGGAGAAAGTTTGGGAGTGAATGAGAGAGAGAGAACTTCCTTCTATTGTAGAGAGAGAAAGTCCAAAAAATCGATCCCCTCACCCACCGGGGTAAATTCTCTATTTATAGGTTACCTTCCGGTGGGTGTGGGTTTCCGAGGTGACATGACATTTGAAAAAGATAGAGGGTTAGGATATGATGAGGTCTACAAATAGAGCATGATAACCTTGTTAGTAATACGGTGTCGTCTCTACTCCTTGCGGGCGGGTGGTGCTGTCGCGATGACGCCTCTCTTGGCGACTGGCGCGGTTTGCTCTATCTGTCCGGAGAGGTGTCGCTCTCCGCGCCGCGCTGTTTCTGGCGCGCCTTCTTTGGATTACCGTGTAACAATGTTTTCTCGTGTTGGAGTGTTTTAGCCGCTCTTTATGGCGCCCCCTTCTTTGAATACCGACGGAACGAATCATTTGTTGAGCGCATACCTAATGAAGCGAATGAACCCGAACCATTCCCGCAACACAAGTTATACCAAAACCTTTATTTTTCAAAACCTAGTGCTTTGTTATTGTCGAGGATTGAGTCCCCAGCTGTTAATAAAGTGATTATTGATTAAAGTCAAAACTTCCCACAACCCTCTTCTCTTCTCATCTCTCTATCCATGGAAGATGCAGTGCAGATCCAACATCCCTCGTACCCTGTCCCTGCCTGCCCAACTAGCCTTCCCCGCCGTCCGATGTTTCCCCAATCCAACGCACGAAGCCCCTCCACGATTCTCCCTTCCCAATCCTTCGATCCAGCTACCTTCTCATGGCTCACAATCCTCCACGATCCTACCCTACTACCCGTCCGATGAACCAGAGATCCGACGGCCGAAACAACCTCTCCAGTCCCTGCACATTTCTTTTCCACTCTGTTCCATTTCTGGGTTGGGTCTGCGTACCTGCTGTGACATTAATATCCCGCTTCTTTTTTCCAATCCACCTCCTTTCCCCCAATTGCTCCAAACACTTCATTAGCTCCCGCCTCCCTTTTCCGTGTTTTACTCGTTTTCTAGCTTCGGTACAAGACGACGCCGATACAAAATGCAAGAACAAGCCACCAGTTCAGCTGCAGCCAATTCTCTGCCTTCAAGCAGCGAGAGATCTTCCAGCTCCGCGCTTCAGCTCGAGGTCAAGGAAGGTCTTATCTCTGTCCTTATCCCTTTCCAAAACTCTAAAATAGATTTTTTTTTTTTTTAAGTCTAGGATTTTCCCCCTTATGGAGTGAAGTTCCGGGATTCCCCCATGGGAATCGTGCAATGTGCGATTTGGAATGATGGGTTGTCTTGGGTTTTGCGTTTTGGGTAGGTATGGAGAGTGACGAGGAGATCAGGAGAGTGCCGGAGTTCGGTGGGGAGCGGGCGGCGACGTCAGGTTCGGGTCGGAACGCGGCGGTGGTTTCAGGGATGGAGCGGGCTCATCAGGGTCCCGGAGAAGGGACGAGGAAGCGAGGGAGAAGCCCTGCGGATAAAGAGAACAAGCGACTCAAACGGTGAAATTCGTTGACTTGATTTGTGGGGCTTTGACATAACGGACGGGTCTTATCGGAAAATGGATAATGCTGATGATGACCATTTCTTCTCCGGTGAAAATTTGTTTACAGGTTGTTGAGGAACAGAGTTTCGGCGCAGCAAGCCAGGGAGAGGAAGAAAGCGTATCTTAGCGAGCTGGAGACGAGGGTTAAGGACCTGGAGAAGAAGAACTCGGAGCTCGATGAGCGCCTCTCCACTTTGCAGAATGAGAATCAGATGCTCAGACATGTAAGTTGCCTTCTACCCTCTGCATCTCTTTCTCTCTTCTATTAACCGTTCTGGAAATCAAACTGGAGGGGCTTGGTTTGGTTGGTACCAGTTTTAACCGATTTACATATGCTGGTCTGGTCATTAATACAAAATCCGGTGAACATATTTTTACTCCATATCCATCAATCAAATCACAGTGTCAACGAGCTTCATCGTTATTGTTCATTACAAAATGAAGTAATCATCTATCAGAGGTGGATTCTTTTAGCTTGAGAACAAAGATGTGTGGAGTATGTAATGTAAGCAAAAGCGCATTAGTTCTTGTCAATTCCAGAATGGGACCAGGATTAGTTGATCGTCTTTTCTATTTTAAAGTGCTAACCCCACATCTAGTACTCATAGCATTGATCAATGGAAAACAAGTATTCACCGGCTAGTTGGTGTGGTAGGGTTGATGAAAGAATTATTCACTTTCAATTGAGGTCTGAGGATGATGGTTGTAGGGTTTTGAGGCCAATAAGATTATCGTGTCTTGTGTCTTGTTGCAGATACTGAAAAACACAACGGCAAGCAGGAGAGGAGGTAACAGTGCTGCGGATTGATCGGCCCCATGAGTTGAGAATCTGTAATCCATTTGATATATGAAGAAGAGGAATCGTAAGGAAGCACATAAGCATCTGTTTTCTGATTCTAATTATGTGTATGTAGAGGTATTAACTAAGAAGGTAGGAGTGGCTTCGTGAAAGCGAGGAAGAGAAAGAACGAGTTAGAGCTGCCGCGCCCAGAATGGGTGCTCACAGGGTTGAGCTAGCGAGCAGTTGGGTTTAGACATTGTTGGAGAGGCAGCGTTGCTTGCAATGTATTGAGGTGCATCATTTGCAGCAAGCCCATGTGCTCATATGCGTATGCAACTGTGGCCATTCTTGCTGTGCCTACCCCAGAGAAATGAAGAGAGAGTAGAATGATCACGAGTTGGTTCGTGTTCGATAGAGATTGTGTTAACTCATTCCCCCATATGGGATTGTGGTGTTGCTGAAAATGACATTGGTCGTTTGGCTCTCTTTTTCTTTTGATTGTCTCTGTATTTCCCAGCCCTCTATCTATGTAGGAGAATTCTGGATTCTGAAATGAGATTCTCGCATGACTTTGCATTACCAATTGATATGTTCATTGCTCTAAAGAGGAGGGTAGATCAATCTGTCATCAACTCAGAGCGTTTGATCAATAACAGTTCCCTGTGGGAGTTTTGGCACCAAATGGTAAAAGAGCAGGCCCAATAATGAGCTTCCAGAGCAAAGACAAACCCTTAGCAGGCCTGATAGTTTGTAAGCTGGGCGGGCCGATGTAAGGGCCCGAGGTTGAGGGTACTCGCAAACAAAACCGATATCTTCGAGAAAATCCCAAAAAGCTGGCCCTAAAATACCTTATTCGTCGCCCTAAATTTTATTAAAATGACTCAAATATCCTTAAATTAATTTTTATCTTTCAAAACACATAAACACTAAAACTCAATTACAAAATAAAGTATAAAAAATTTAATGAATTAAAACCTACAACTACACCAAATGTAACAATTAAAAAAGAATATCCAAAAAATTAAAAAAAAATATCAACAACTACCAATTTCCTCCGCTGCTTCGCCGCCACCTTCCATGTCCCTGTGCAATTCTCAAAAAAAAAAAGGAACACCAATGCTGGGAAATTGCGATGAAGAGAGGAATTAATGTTGATGAATCGATGATTTTTGGCCTAATCGGTTGCAGATGGGCTTTTTCCCCGTTCCATATACCACAACGGCAGGTTGGAAACCTGTCGCCGGGGAGCTCGGACTGGTCGGCAACCTCTCCTGGGCGGCGACCTTCTTTTTCTTCGTCTTCTTCCTGCTGCTTGGGATCGACTCCGGCACTAGAAGCAGAGCATCGGCGACGGTCGAGAAGAATCCGACACCGGCAGCAGCGGACGGAGGATAGAGGAGTCGACGGCGGCTGGCAAGGATGTTTGTTTAAGGTTTTGGTTAGAAATTGGGATCAGAGGGTAAAGGTGTCAATGTGATGTATTTTAGGGCGATATAATTTAAATTTTAGGGCGACGAATAGCGATTCAGGGAATTAGAGGTTAATTGCATGGTTGATCACTGAGATTACAGAAAATATTCATGTTTGGTCACTGAAAATATTTATATCCAATTTTGGTCACTCAAATTAGTTAAATGGTTCAAGTTTGGTCACTCTCCGTCCAACTCCGTTAAATATGTCTGATGTGGCAGTCAACCCTCAAAGTTGACCGTTAACTCGGTGACGTGGCAATTAAAAAATAAAAAATAAAATAAATTTTAATCTTCTACCATTTCCAACTCATTTTCACAATAAAGTAAAATAAATAAATAATAATAAAATTATTATAATCACAAATTGAAAGAGTAGCTCCCTCCACCACCACCTCCCCGTCGTCGTTGCCGCTCTCACCACCACCGCCGCCACCATCAGCAGCCAGCAAAGCGACCTTGTCATTTTCCTCTTCCTCGTACTCCGTCTCCGACGAATCCTCGTCCTCCATCACCAGCTTTTCCACTCGTTCGTTCTCCGCTGTCGCTGGAAACTCCGAGAAATTCGGCTGATTAATGAAATTGCTTGCCGCGGCGTGCAGTTCTTCGTTTATGATTGTCTTCATTTCGTTTGTGAAGCTTTGATTCAGTTGCCTGACACGAGAATCCCGGCCGTAATCAGCGGTGGCGGAGGCCGGTCTCGTCGAGGATGATTTTCTCACCGCGGACGGCCGTGGTGGTGGTGGAGGCGGTGGAGGAGGAGAGCGGTAGACGGTTCTCTTCCTGACGAAATCCTCCGCACTCTTGGCTTGTACCTCGGAGAAAATCAGAGAATCAGATCCCGCAGCAGGAGAATTGGACCGTTTCGTCGATCTGGAGACTGTCGCTGGCGGAGCTGGTAGAGGAGGCGACGACGGGGGTGGAGGAGTAGAAGAAACTGCAACCGTCAGATCCGGGCAGGATTTTTTGAATTCGAATTTACCAGATCTGGATCTCCATGGAATTGGAGAAGGAAGCACGACGCTAGCCTTCGATTCGTCTTCGAATTCCACCTCGCTTCGATCAACGACCTTATTAGCTCCCGAAAACCTCTTCGAATTCCCCACGGGAGAAGACCTAGCCACAGAACCGCTGTCCGATTCCGCCAATTTCAAGCTCCTAATCGGCAGGAGCAACGACTTTTCGCTCCGAATCAACTTGCTCCGTTCTTCTCCTTCTCCCTCGTCGTCATCGGCGACGACCACAACAGGCTCGTTCCGCAAGTACCGGCTGCTCCACGTCTGCACTCTATTGGCTGTCTCCGCACCGTCGCCGCCGCCGATCACGTCGTCATCGAAGACCGAGGACACAGGGAGGAATCTGGAGACGTAGGATTGCGCGACGTCTATCTTGTTGTTATTAGAGGTGGCGGTTTCTTTCCGATCAGCGTTGCAATAGGCGGCGGCCGGCGGCGGCGTCGTTGCGTAGGAGACGACGATGCCGACGAAGACGAGGTGGAGGAACTCCTAGCCGCGAGTGTCGAGGGTGTGGCTGAGGAATGCCGGGGCCTGGGAAGGGAGGAGAGGCAGTATGAACATGAAGATGGAGATTGCGGGAAGGGATGTGGTGGCGGAGGAGGGAGCTACTCTTTCAATTTGTGATTATAATAATTTTTTATTTTACTTTATTGTGAAAATGAGTTGGAAATGGTAGAAGATTAAAATTTATTTTATTTATTATTTTTTAATTGCCACGTCACTGATTTAACGGCCAGCTTTGAGGGTTGACTGCCACATCAGACATATTTAACGGAGTTGGACGGAGAGTGACCAAACTTGAACCATTTAACTAATTTGAGTGACCAAGATTGGATTTAGATATTTTCAGTGAGCAAACATGAACGTTTTTTGTAATCTCAGTGACCAACCATGCAATTAACCCGTGGAATTAGAGAGAGAAAGTGAGTTTGGGGTCTCCTCATCCGTACCGTACGTAAGGGTTTTACTTCTTTTCTACACACTTCTCCTGAGCTTGTCACAGGGTTTTCAATTTAGGGTTCGTGGACGTTTGGGGGGCAGAAATTTGCAGTAGAGTTGTCAGAGGTCCAGCAATGGAGGTGATAACGGAAGGAGTCAATAACTTAACCTTGGCCGATTCAGCTGCTCCAGGATACCAGAGGAACAGAATCCAAGTTTCCAACACCAAGAAGCCTCTCTTTTTCTATGTCAATCTCGCCAAGGTTTCTCCTCTCTCTCCCCCTCTGTTTTCAATTCTCTTAGTTCCAACTTTGAACTAGTGGCTCAGCTGTGGGGGTTAGGAGGGGTTTGCTTTCTAGCTGGGTTGTAACAACTTTCGAGGGAAAAGTAACAACTTTCCGCTTTGTAAGTTTTGCTGTTAATTATTGATTCCCTGACGGCCTGCCCTTGTATGGTGATAGTGTGAATTGGTTAAGTTTATTGGCTTCACGGAAGGAGTTTACTGGAATGACGGGGGTAATTTATGTTTGGGTTTTGTTGCAGAGGTATATGCAGCAGTTCAACGAAGTGGAGCTTTCTGCTCTTGGGATGGGTATAATACTCTCACCCTTTTCCATGGTGGTCATGGTGCTGTTTGTAATCTGATGTTTTCGCTGCAACTTAACATTATGCAGCTATCGCCACTGTTGTTACTGTTGCCGAGATCTTGAAGAACAATGGATTTGCAGTCGAGAACCGCAAGTTTCCCGATCAACGGTTCCTTGGTTCATTTTCAGCTGTTCGAGATTCGAATTTTAAATGCTCCAACGTGCAGAAATTAACACGCAAGTTTTGCAGGAATCACAACTTCGACTATTGACATGAGGGAGGATGCTGCAGCTCGTCCGATTCCGAAACCAAAGGTAATTTTGAAACTTCCAGACCCGCTTCTCGAATGTTGGTTGAATGAATATGAATCAGCGTTGAACAGAACTTTAAAAAAACCCATGTTAGATCTTCCTTCATTGTTGTTTAGTAGTTTTGGAGTGAATATGCCATTGCTAAAGGTCTTGCGATTGAAAACAGGAGCTGTGAATGCTCCTCCTATCATTTCTGTCAGAGGAGGGTTCTAATGAACACTATAGTACTACTTACCAATCTTTGTGGTACTAATCTTGGATGTAGCAAATAGCTAATGCGGCTAACGGGTTTGCTTTGGCACCATTGTAGATTGAAAGTCTGAGAAGTTTGATGAGTTGATTGCTGCTGTTAAAGAAGAAGAAGAAGAAGAAGAAGAAGAAGAGAACGATGAGGAGAACTCAGCTTAGTCCAAATGGATCTGTTTTCCTTGGCTTCCTTGTGGATGAAGCTTCAACTTTGTGTCCTAGTTGCTAAGACAAAGTTAAATTCCTCGACGTAGTATTTTCTCTTGTAGAAACATTGCGGCAATGCTGTTGAATGTCGAAAATGGTAGCTATTCGAAACAACAATTTCTCTTTCCATTCCCTCAAACAAAAGTTAGTTAAAACAATGACCATGTGCTTGTTTTTCTAACCTTCCAAAAACGAAGGCTCACTGAACTAAAAGCCTGAAAACAAATCTTTCCAAGGTAAAAGAAGGACAAGAACAAAACTGCTTATGAGAATAAATGAAATCCAAATAAAAATGCTCTTTCAGCACTTTCTATGCTTCTTGGTCACCCTCCACAAGAATCCGCTTGCAAGCCTCGTAACACATGAACGATATCCCAGCAGCCGGGACAAGCTTCATGCAGCTTGGCCCTAACCCTTTGTACAGGCCCTTAACCCCTTCTTTCTCAAGTATGCTTGCTAAGGCATGTAGCACGTCCCTGTACACTTGCCTCCCACATAGGGCTCCTACCTGCATATGCTTGCGAGCCACCTCAAGTGGGAAAGTGGCACTGCTTGATATAGCACCAGCTGCTGATCCAATCAACAGGGTCTCAATGTTGCCAATCTTCTCTTGCTTTGCAAGCTTCCTGTATGCCTTCCGCAGTGAGTCGTAAGCAAAGTAATTTGTTGCGGCGTAAGGAACAACTCCGATGAGGCTCGGAGCTAGGCCTCGGTAGAGCTCGCCGGGGCCTTCTTCGCTCAGTATTTTCATGAATGCATCTAATATGCCTTTGTATACACCTCTCTGCAAGCATAACATAATGAAACTCAAACCCTATTGAATAAATTACTGGCAAAGGGAACATATATTTCAAGCCATGAACAAGTTTGTTGATACCTGTATGGTTAGTCGAGTCTTGACTAGCTCCAGAGGATAAGTACAGAGAGTTGAGGTCACTCCAGCGCATGCTCCGGCAACCAACGAGGCTGGAATTGGAAGCTTAGGCTGCTCTCCTGGTGCAGCGGATAGCTTCTTATTGACAGTGTCATATGCAAATAACTGTACCCACAGGAAGAAAATTAAATGCAATCGGTCTTACAAAGATACATTTAGCACAGTAGGGTGAAGTTGATTAAGAACTGAAAGGAGAATATCTTTGAAACATATGAATAACAAAGCTGCGATGCTTAGGGTTTGACATGAAGCAAAGCAATCACATGTATAACTTATTGTATGACTTCATCTCTTTAGTTGACAAGGGAGATACGATAATGATAGGGAAAGTTTAAGATAAACTGTCCTTGATAACAGTTTGTAATGGATGAGAGAAACGAAGAAACCTTTCTAATCTTCAGTAAGCTGGTTATATACAGAAAACAGTAATTCTGTCAGCTGGAGTGGCAAGAACAAACTACTTAAGTCCCACTTAACAGGTAAGAACAAACTTAGTCCAAGGCAGATACTATCTAAGCTAACCAATGTTGGTTAAGTCCAGAGGCAATGCTAACAAAACATGAAGTTGAGAATCCGTTCCGACTAAATCCTGACATTGCGTACTTCCATCAACCTATAAAAGACTCCCTAGGGATTCTAATGCCATGCTCAAGAAAGAGGCAATGAAGTCATGTAAGAGAAAACAACAGACAGAGTACAGCAAATGTACAAACAATCTCAGACCATGAATGCTGAACCATGTCAGCCAAACAGACAAACAGCTGCATATGTGAACATAAGTTGATAGCTTGACATCAACCACACTGGTGATGAACAAGAACTAAAAAACCAGTCAAGGAAAAGATAGAGCTGTCCTTGTATCCACAATAGCCTCTAATGAAAATCCATGAGCATTGCCAAATGGTTGGACACTGAGGCTTCTAATACATTGCTCTATCAGCTATATCCATCTGTATGCCATTAAATACGAATTGCCAAATCAGAAAACACTAAACGGAAGATCTAAACAGCATAACAATACTTACTTCAATCGCCTTGCTCGGCGCAACACGGATCACATTAACCAAGTTTCCCCTAAACAGACCAGTCCAGCCATCATGCTGCATTATATTCTGGAACACCTCACTGCTCGAATGCCCACTGCTCCCAACCATCAAATGTGTTCTTATAGTCTCCAAAGGAGCAACAGCGGTTCTAGAAACAGCCCCAGCAATCCCACCACTGATCAACCTTCTCAAAGAAGGATTCCGCACCTTAATCTTCAATTGAAGCCATCCTTTCCTCTTCCTCTTCTTTCCCACCTCGCCATTAACCCCCACAAATGACAAATACTTCTCATACAAATCATTGTAAACAGATTTTATACCTCCACCACCGTTCCCATTGGACCCCATCCCCATCTGATTGACGCTCGCGAAAAGGCCGCCGGCCCCACCGGGAAAGCACTGACCAACATCTTCCTCCTGGCTCCACGGAGAAGAACCCAACCCGGAGATTGAAAGAAAGCTGCCGCCTTTATCATCAAACAACTGAATCCCTCGCTTGCCCATCACTCAAAATCCCCCTGTCCCCTGATTAGTGATGACGGTCGTTGACCATATAAGTTAAAAGGCTTGTGTTACAGAATGTCCCAATCGAGCTCCCTGCCCCATGAGTTTCAATCAGAATAGGAGCGCTCGGCGGGGGAAAGAACACGTTTTGGCGAAATGGGGATGGAGGAGATTCATTGTTGAGTAATGGGTGCGGGAGAGAATTGAGAGAAAAGCAAGGATTTTTGGAGGTGGATTGAGGAAAGCTGAAAATCCAATCAATAGAATAAGACGGCGAAAAAGAGAGAGGAGGAAAGTGATGGGGGTTGTGAGGGTTAGGTGAACGGAGGAGGAATCTGGCGACTGGTATCTGCTGGCTGCGAATGGGGGATGGAGACAGAAACGCTATGAATTACGATGATGGCTTGTTAGGTGATTTAGGTTTCGCGGTTCCACTTGCCACTTAAACAAGTGAAGGGGAAGCTGGGAAGGGACAGTGGCTGTTCTTCTAGGACTCCTGTGACCTGACTCCTGACCTGTGTGTGTTACACACTTACAGCTACTGTTGTTACTTTGTTGAGTCACCCTGCTCAAATTTGTCAAATTCAACCTGAAAGAATATTTGTTGGCTTTTCTTTTCTTGACCAAATCTGCAAATCATGATTTCTTTTGGGAACAAGAAAGGTGGGCCGGAATAACCATATACCAAAGCACAAACAACATTTAGGGATGGCAATGGGTCGGGTTGGGTCGGGTTTTGCCAAACCCAAACCCAAACCCATGGGTTTATCTTTGAAAAAAACCCGGGGTAAAACCCACTGGGTTTGAAAAACTCAAACCCAACCCAACCCGTTGGGTATCCGCGGGTTCATGGGTACCCACGGGTTTTGTCGTAAAAAATTTACTATTACAAGTTCTTATCAAAATTAAAGTCAAATATCAATCTCTCAATACAAATTATTCATATATAAAACATCATTCTAGAAAATTCATGCAAATCACAAATTATATTTACAAATTGTTCAACACCAATCTAGAAAACTCAAGAAAATTGAAGCAAATCACAAATTATCCATAACTAACATGTTTAATTGAAAGCTTCTTTCTTTCAATTAAGTTTCTTTACTCTCCACTCCATAACATCAACTTCATTCTACACAATTAAAAAGAAAAAATTAGACATGTCTCCACAAATATAAATAAGATTAGTTGTTTAGATTATTAAATATACCGAAAAAATTAATTATATGGATGGGCGGGTACCCACGGGCCGGGTTTACCTAAACCCAAACCCAAACCAACCCGGTAAATAGTGAACGGGTTTAAACCCAAACCCGGCCCAAAACCCGTCAACACGGATTTTACCCGCGTTGACCGGGTTGGATCGGGTGGGTACCCGTGGGTTCAGGTTTTGTTGCCATCCCTAACAACATTCACAATGATTAAAAAATCCTACCGTACCTGCGGTTCGACCAAAAAAACCTCTTACCGGAAGCTAAATAGGTAGGCGGTTTTAGCGGTATAATACGATTAAACCATGATTAAACCACAGGTTTAGCATAAAATATCCTACCGTTGACTTTTCTGGTATGACCTCCGATACGGTATTTCAATGCTTGTTCACAAGTCACATGCCCAATAAGAAAACGAATAATGTAAACATTGGACATGAGTAGCCTACTACCCTTAGCCTTTATGAGGGTGGATCTGGTCACTAAGGGGTGATTAGTCACTTGACTAAGCCCCTCCCAGCACTTAGATCTATATACACAAATCTGACGGTTAAAAATGGAAATGACTTTTAATTTAATGACATGAGTAGTTTGGGTATTATGGAAAATTAAGAAGTATACAAACCGGACTTACAAAGAGTACAAACCATACTAACAATACAAACTAGAGTGACAAAACATACAAACATATTTACAAACAATACGAAACATACGAACTATACAAACAATACAAACTAGACCGGCAAACATTACAAAACATACTGACAGTACAAAATACCACTACTTACAATACAAAGCAGTAACTTGTATTACAAATCAATGAATAGAAAGTATACAAATCACAACATAAAATATACAAACTAGACAAACAAACATTACAAATTACAATGTATACAAATTAGTCATATAAACATTACAAACATAATAGATAAAAATGACAAAATAGAATAATAAACGATAGAAACCATATTGATTATTAAATCCTGGACGACGGGTGCCCGCCGGAAAATCCTGGATAGCGGGAGGATGCCGGAATATTCCGGTCGGTAGAGGTGGGGACATGAGACACTTTTTTAATTATTAAAATATAATTGAACTATGAAATTACTACATTACCCTTTATTAAATTGAATTAATTGAAGTCATTGGATTTTAATGAGATTGAAGGGTTGAGATCGACTCCTAGTCCAACTCTTATCCATTGAGCTGGGTTTCTTCCCCTAAAGATATTCCAGCAAGGTAAAAATACAAACAATATCTTCACAGATAAAATAAGAATTAGACCACACTAGTCGACAAAATTGATGAACCAACTATGAGAGGGCTTGTTTTGTCAGGATATGAGCAACCTTTTTATACATATGAGCACGAGCGGAAGCAGTGTGTAGGAAGGGGTTCCCATGCACACATTTGGATTGGAGAAAAAGGGTTAAAAATAGGTATAGTAGTTTGCTTGCAATGAAACTTGAACATAGAAGTTTATTCCTTATACTTAATTAGAGTTTCTACCATCAAACTAAATTAAGAACGTACATTTAAATTATCTTCAATTATATAAATTATAACAAGTTTGTACATGAATAAAATAAAATTCATATATGATTAACTCAATCTTTTAAATTTCTAATGTTTTATATAAATGTTAACTCTAAATTTTGGTGACTCTTATCCTCCCACAACACCACTATTTGTCCAATATCTAACTCTCCACGAATGGAATGATTAGGAGAATCAGGAATCATTTGGTATGATATATTGACAATAATGTCTTTTCGAATATTTTAAAATTTATATATATAGTGGAGAAACGTTGTGCCTCACTGGTCACTACATATGATTAATAACTTCTCATATAAGATATATTTATTTTTAATTAAGAAAATTGCACCCCATTACATAAAATCATAGCTACGGTACTGCATATGAGGTGCGAAAGGGAGCGAAGCTCTCTAAAGAGATTATCCCAACACCTTAACCTCTTTCAAAATGACATCTCCAAAAGCATACACCGAATCCCTCGCATTAACCCTTCAAATAAGGACTTTTGAATCACCACAAAACAAAAGATTAGTTACAAGTTGCGACA